GTGAATGCACTGCAATAAGACATAGATCTTTTCTGGGCCATCAGGTTGGGAGAATAAGTTGTGCTAGAGTAGTTTAAAGCTGTTGGCTCTGTGAGCTTATATGGCTAAATTGTGTATGTTTTGGGGTTGGTTTGTTCTCTTCCACAGTAGGTCTATGTGGAATTGTTGGAGTACCATTAGATTGTGTGTGTGTTTGTGTGTGTGTGTGTGTGTGCGGTGGTTTTGTGAATGTATTAGGGTTGCCAGCATCCACTGTACTCAGTTGGGCCCAGGGAGACAAGTAGTCATTGTTCAAAAACTTGACAAAATTCCGTCAAGAAATCCATGCTGTTTAGCGCAGGCTTGAAAGCTGCTTCCTACCATTGATAATGTAGCAAAGATGGGGCTGGAGATTTAGCTCAGCGGCAAAAGCGCCTGCCTGGCAAGTGCAAGGTCGTGAGTTCAGTTCCCAGTACTGGAGAAAAAACAAAACAAAAAAAAACAAACAAAAAAGATAATGTAGCAAAGACACCTCCCCCTTTTCAATTTCTCAGAGTTTTTGGAGGCAGAGCACCTGAGAATGAGATGTTCAGTGTCTTCTTGTGACCATAGAAGGCTGGGGAAGCCCCCTGGAGGATGCCTGAGAGTTACAGCATGCTTAGCTTTCTTGACTTCTTCCGGGAGCCAGGATGTGTAGACAGGGCCCTTTCCTTGCTTCACAGGCATGCTGTGAACACAGTCCCTCACAATGGGCTGCCTCTCTATTTTCCTGCTCTGAGGGTAGTTAGATAGTGCTGTCAACTTGAGTCCTGGTCCTGAGCCATCAGGATATTGGAGGACATGCCTGACTGATTCTTGGGCAGCTGTTGGATGGGACGAGACCTTTAAATGATTCCTGAGTGCTTCTCCCAGCTGGGTCACTTGGGAGAGCTGCTGAGACACTACTCAAGGTCATCTGGACAGGTCAACAGCATCATGTCCTAAGACCAGATTCGCCATGTGCCCAGAACCCCAGCTGTGTGGAGCCTCAAGGTAGTGATAAGCC